TTGTGGTGGCACGAGCCCATGTGTCCAAGAATACCAACTTTTTAAAATACTAAAGGCTAGTTTCCGATCAGTCCCTAATTCATCAGGGGTTAAGTCTATTTAGTTGGAACATGATTAATATTATACATTGCAGTGTTTAGAGCCTCACCCCAAAAATGAGGTGATAAATCTGAATGGCTCATTATATACTAACCATGTCCATTAGAGTCCTTTTTTTCTTTCAGCTACACCATTTTATTGTGGTGTATATGAGATGGTGGTTTGGTGATTTATGCCATGCTCCTTAGAAAACGCGGTAAATAAATCGGAACAATATTCACCCCCCTGTTTGTTCTAAGAATTTTAATGTCTTCGTAGTTGGTTTTTTACCTCGGCTTTATACTCTTTAAATGTTTCTAAAGAATATAATTTTCTACTAATTAGGCATACATATCCATGACGAGAATAAGTATATAGGAATGTTATGAGATATTCCATACCTCTATGTGTTTTTACGTTTAATGAGCCTCATATATCAGACTGAACAATATTAAGTAGTTCACTAGATCTTTTTCCTTTAGGAAAAGGTTTTCGTAGTTAATTTACCAGAAATACATGGGCTCGCATGTTTTGAATACAATTTCTCTTAAGTTGGGGGGTAGGCATCTTTTAACCATTTTGTTCATTTTATAATTCTTTATATATCCTAATCTTAAATGCCATATAGATGAATCATCCATGCACACATGAGCATCAAAGGAAACATTAATATAACCAAAATGAGATGAATTTGTATTAATATCCAATCAGTACAAGTTAACTTTAGTTTCATACACCAATGCTCGAGAATGTATACCAATGGTGACCCGACCAGACTTGAACCATATTTAATACCCTTTGTTGTCTAACATTGGAACAAAAATTAAATAGTGCCTCATTTTTAGCACATACAAAGTATCAGTAAGTAGGAGATTCGTTCCTCCAGTTAGGCACAACTTATAAGTATTGACACCAAGTGCATCGCAATAGGTGTCATCTTTCATATAAATCTACTGGTTTATTAGAATAATTATATTTAGGAAAATTAAACTTGATGTGCCAAGTCTTCATGCAATAAAAACATGTCCATCAGCCTTCTTCTTTTGATTTTTAAAATTTCTTCCCTTTCCCTTGTACTTATTATTATTATTGTTCTCATTATTGTTAGGTTTCTTAGGGTTTTGAGAAGAGGAACTTTGAGCAAAGTGGATTTCATTTGACTTCTTCCTCATTCTTTTCTCAGCTTCAAGCTTAGGTGCATGGGAAGATCTAGCATGGTAGTGTCATGTGCAAAATGGTTTAAGGCAATCACAACAGGCTCCCAAATTGGAGGGAGGCTATCGAGGACAATGGACACTTGCATGCGGTCAGGGACTAGATTCCTGGCTACAGCAAGGTCCTTAGCAAGCACTGTTATTTTGTTGACATGCTCGGGCACTGAGTCTATTTCCTTCAATCTGCAAGAATTACACTTTTGTAATAGTTGGACGTGAGTCTTAGAAGTAGCCCCGTAGTTTTCAGATAGGGCATCCATCATACTTTGAGTTGTGGTGTGGTCCTCAAAGACCCTAATTAAGTCATCCTCTATAAAACTCGACATTATGGCTCTAACTACTTTATCATCTTCTAACCATTTTTCTAATTGTCTTCTAGCTTGACCATTGGCATTAGGCTCTAAAACTGGTGGGTTTGAATCTAGAACATAATCTACCCTGGTGTGAAGCAAGTACTTAGAGAAAAATGAGGCAACAAACTAGTTTACACCAGCTCTTGTTCTTTAATATCCTAGAGAGAGAGGAAGCGAGTGAACATAAGACTAATATTCCATACTAGAGGGTCTACTGTTATTGTTTACAACAACAACTATTTGCTATTCCCAACAAAATATTGAACACAATCAAGAAAATTAGTTCACAAAATCAAGATCATGAATTTTGCCCACTTAAATAGATCAAAGCATAAGGAAATTATGCAAGCAAAGAAGATTACGATGCAAACAGAATATCCGTAAAAGAAATATCCCTACATTATAAACCAAGCATTGCAAAAAAGAAACTAAAAATAAAAATAAAATAAAAAAGTGCAATGGGGTGCTAACAGAGAGAAGATTAACAGGGAATTGAAGGCACATGAACATTTGACCAAGGAAAAGTCTACTTGTATAGCTTTGAGAGCCCCCAACTTCCTTTCAATGATAATTACAAAGGGAATAATTGTGAATAATCTAATATCAATAGCGGAAGCACAACATAAGTTATTATAAGAAACTGACTCTTTCGTAAATTAAATAATAAAACTCTTTCTTGGATAAATTCTGTGAACTTTCTTTCTTCAAATACAAGTATCTATGATGTATGAACAAATTCCTCATAAAAAACAAACCAAGTACGATATCAGTGCAAACCAGCAGAGCACATATTACAAAACAAGCTACAACCATGTCACTCTGCACTCATGTTCTCTATTAGTATTAGGTTCTAAATGGCATAGTTGAACCCCAAAAATTAAGCATGCAAAATCATGCGATGCACGTGCAAAATGCTTGGCATGCTTTGGAGGAGATACCAGAGATTATGGTTTTTAACGAAATTTACAGCCAGATGCAAAGCATAATATGTATTTAAAAGAACCAAACTTGCTTCAAAAATAATAATAATTATAATAATAAAGAGGGTCGAGAACCCTATTTGTGCGACTGTCTGCTGTGTAGGCTGTGATCTATAGAGAGTACTCCCAAAATTGCAGTGAAATTCGCGAGGATGCTATATATGACAAGGAGAGGAAATTCAACGATGGTACCATTATCCTACTATGGAGATAAAAATGAATAAATAAAGAATATGACTCACGGCTCAGGTGACTGCAACTCACAGCTCAGGCGAATGTAGAGAGCATAAATTTGAGAACGGAAAATTACAGCAGCACACTTGATAACAACCTTTACTCTGATACCAGTGTTGAGAAAAAGAGGAGATGATGGACTCACCTAAAATCCTAGGTGTTGATGGGCAGTGTTGTTCGACTGTATATTGCAGACAGCCCAAGGGTTTTCCAAAACGATTGAGAATAGCTTTTGTTTCTCTATGTTTTCCTATGGCCATGGAACCCTAATTTATAGAGGCATAGGAGGAGGCCGTTCTCCAACCTCTGGCTTTCTTTCCTGGAATATCTGAGAAGTGACCCACAATATTTGGGAGATAGGAGAGTTATTTACTATCTATTGGAAAAGAGACTTTCTCGCTAGAAAAGCTTTAATGATAAATAATGATTAATACAATATTTTTCAAACAATATTAATCAAGGAGAAAAAAATGGCATGTGTGAGGCCCCTATGGCTATACACACATACTAACCATTCAGGGGTTGGAGTTTGTTATTTCCTTTGGGGTTTCCCCCTGAAGTTCTCATATGCAGCATGTTTCAAAATATGCGTTGGAGCCACACTTTGTGTTTTTAGAATGAGTGCTCTTAATTCATTTGCAACACCACATCATATATGACTTGCTAAATGACTCGGTTTTTAGCTGCTCTTATGCTGCCCTTTATTTCTTTTGTTTTTGAATTACAGAGAATTGGAGAATTCAAACTAATTTGAGATTGTTAGAATGACAAAGAAGAGATGAAAGAACCATGAGGAAAGAGGCAAGATTTAGGGAACCCTATCAAGATGAGATAAAGATACATTGATTAAAATCCATTGTATTAGGCTCACTTGCGAACGTTATATACATTACTATTTGAAGAAAATGCCCTTGGGCAATATGGGAATGACTTGTGAGAATATAGAAAATAAATTTACAATGAGTAGCATCTACCAATAAAAGAATTCACATTATGTAAGATCACAATTGTACCCCTTGTAACATTCCTCAAAGTGGTGATGTGAAGTCTAAAAACATCAGCTTGTTTGCTAAAAAATTGTGGCATGATCAGATCATGTCCTTCGGAAAGATGTGAGCCAGTTGGAACTGGGAAGTGACAAAGGCATGAATTTGTCAAGGCTAAATTTTCTCTTGAACAAAATGGCAATCAATTTTTATATGTTGATGAGATCATGAAATACTGCATTATATTCGATCTGTATAGCATTTGTTTATAACCATGTGAAGGTGTTAACTTGGAGATGGGAAAACCCAACTCGCAGAACAGAGAAAATCCATGAATTACTAATGTACTTGTCATGGGATCTATTTGCTTGTTATCTTAACTGATGTAACATGGAATCCTTTTTTGTTATTACGTTCATGGAAGACATCAACTTCAACATTTCATGGTACATGTTATTTGTTTGAACCCTTAACTTTGATAAGTTAATAACATTGTGGAAATAGTCAGATCCTGAAAGTCATGACTGAAGTTTCTACTAGAGAATATGATAGTGTAACTAATAGTCACAATGACAATGTAAACATAAACTCTTGCAAACTGTATACAGGAGTTTTTTCACTAGGTGTACTTTGCAAATTTAAATGTTAGTGCATTGCTTTCCACTTTTATTATAACCCCAAAAAAATGTTGGAAGCAGTAATAAATATGGAATCCTCTAGAAAACTGCTATGTAATACTTTGCAATTTACCACACTGCATTCTCAGGGGAAATGAACGGTGTTTCATACTTGTTAAATATCTAATGAGACTCTTCGCTATACCATTTATCTTTGTATTGGTGACTCGAGTCTTCCTACTCTCTAAACTCTCACATGATCACTGCTTGATCATCTGACTATTGTCAGCTGATTCTACCGGTTATAAATCACATGGGTTAAAATATAGATTGTAAAATTATTAAGCATGGAACATTCTCCACTGATTGTGATTGTTCCATATTATTCTTATTTCTCTAAGTGACTGAAAGAATTCAAACCAATTTGACTTGCAAGGGTTGCTGAAGCATTACATAGCAGTTTATTTATTTATTTTCTTGTAATCAGCTAAATATCTGCTTGAGTTAACTTGCCATCATTATCCTTATTCTACTGCAGGATGCTAAAGAAAGTAGAAAGAGGGGAAAGCATGGCCCTTTAACCGAAGAAAGAAAAGCAAAGAAAAAGGTATCTTTTTTTTTTATCTTTTTTGAGATTTAGAAGTATGGTTTACTTGGTGAGTAGTTGTATTTAGCAGTTAGTCATTCTGTATGATCCATCTAGTTAGTCATTCTATATTATTCTTCAAATTGAAGATGCACTCATATTAAGCACACAATTGTCTATGTCTCGACACACGTGTATGTTTGTAGGTTTATATTTAAGTATGTTTGTAATAAGTATTATGTGTTTAATTTTCTTTTTCTTTTTTGATAATTGACCATGTGTTGTGTATCCTTATAGATAGAAATTTTACTTTATTATCGCTCCAAAAACCTTGATTATAAAAATCCCTCCAAAAGCTTGATTTTATTCTCATGCCCCATTAATTTATTTTCCTAAATTGCCCCTACTATACACCTTGAACGTTTGAAGTATAACCTTACAGTCCAACATTGGACCTCAAGATCCAAGAAGCTTTTCTCATATACATATTTTGGACATTGAAGTTGTTCCAAAGCTCATATTTTGGATCTTGAAGGTCCGAAGTCTATGAGAAAGCCTTTTGGATCTTGAGATCCGAAGTAGGACTTGTTAGGTTACACTTCAGACTTTGGAGGTCCGAAGTTGAGGATTGGCATGGTTTTGGACCTTCAAGGTCCAAGTTATGTTAACGTGAAAATCCTCTAGGATCTTGAAATATATGGATGGTCTGTCAAGAAAATGTGTTAATTCAACCATTCAAATCCAAAAAAAATTTGCGTGTTCTTGGATGGAGAGTTACATGTTATTCTTGGGCTCAAGGGGTATAATTGTATGAGGTTCATTGAAAAGGGGACTCTATTGAATATGAATCGACTTGTTGGAAGGGAAACCAAGTCACCCTAAGAGATAAAACATCATCTTATATTTGGGCTCACTCATGAGAATTACCCAAAAGTTTTGGATTTCGAGATATGAGAGGCTTTTCTAATTAACATGGACCTTGAAGGTCCAAAGTTATTCCAATCCTCAACTTCGGACATTCAAGGTCCAAAATTAGTCCTCCTTTGGTTCTCAAGATCCGAGAGGATTTCTCATGAACTTCTGACATTCAAGGTCCGGATTATGAGGTTTTGAACAACTTTGGACCTTCATGGTCTGAAATATGTATATGCGAAAAACATCTCAGATCTTGAGGTCTGAAGGTCTGAAGTTGGACCATTTGATTAAACTTCAGACCTTTAAGGTGAAGGTTCGAAGTAGGGGCAATTTGGGGGAAAAAAGCCAAAATATGAGCATAAAATCAAACATTTTGGGGGGATTTTTATAATAACGGGTTTTTGGGGGATATTAGCATAAATATCTCTTATTTATATTGAGCACCATGGTATGCTTAAAAAAAGACAAATATCAACTGGTGGTTATGCTTAACTACAATACAATATGTACTTTAAATTTGTACAAGTAACAATTTATTGAATTGGAAGAATACGAAGATGAAAGAAATGATGAGAATGATTGAGACAGAAATGGGGTTTGAATAAAGGAACAAAGATGAGGATCGTGAGACTTAAGGATCCTGAATCTGTAATTAGTTCAGACCAAGCCCCTTTCTTGTTGTGACTCTCAACCACTTCATTGGCTACTTGATAAGTTGCCTAAAGGTGCACATAATAGGCTCAATAAGGGAGAGAAATCTCCCTTATTTCATAGTAAAGATGTTTTCAAGTGTGTCAACCCATGGAATCCTCCTTTGAGGTGTGTGCTTTCAGGAACTTTCTTTGTGCTTTCTATTATGCATTTGACATTATGAGCTCAATTTAATTAAAGGCTTGCTATTGTATTTTTCTATGAAATTTGTGCTCTGTCATCAATTTGGTTCATGAGGCTTATTCGCCTCTTCCAAACCCTTAAGACTCACTATCCATACATTTCGAATTGTGGTCCACCCTGTCTTTTGTTCCTTATTTGTTATATTGCTTGAGTCCAGCTACACCTATCAGAATTGTTGCTTCTGGTTTATTTAAGAAAGACATGGACAAATATGTGTCCATGATGGTGTCTCATTTGGATGCTTACATATTTGCATATAGAATTATAAGGTTTGTCTGCAATTATACGTGTATTACTCTAACCCGTTATATATTGAGTAAATACGAATAATGTTATAAGCTGATACAGATGTGCAATGCATGCTCCATGCATGTCCAAAATTCTCACTTGCAGGTCAAAATCATCAACATATGTCTGGAATATGTACTTGCATGTCCATAATTTGGACATTTGTGTTGACTGCCAACAACCTGGGCCTTGCATGTCTAACACGAAAAAGGGGAAAAACTTATAGAAACTATCAACCTTTGTGTCAGATGGCATATCTACTTGGATGTTTAACGTAAGCTTTGTTTTTCATTGTGGATTGCATATGTTGAGAGGCCAAATGTCTTGTGTCTTTACATTGTGTTATAGTTTGACCATTTCTTTTGGAAGGTCAGCATCGGATTCAAAAGTTGGACTTGGAAGTGGTGTTGCAATTGTCAACACAGTAACCAATCAAATGCATGCCTGATTCCCAGTTTGGTTGTATTCGAATTTTCGAAGCATGGTTAATCAGAATTTGGCACACTGATTTTTACCCTGGAAGTCACAAAAAACTAATATGATATCAGAGCTAGTGCTAAGAACCTAGTATTTTAGAAGTCCTTGAAAGATATCCTAATATAGAAATGTGAAATAAACTTATCATGTGGCATGTCGATTAAGTATTTCAATAGTGGACTTTTATAGGATAATAAATTTGTTGATCATCATTTAGAAGTTAGAAGAACCAGAATTTGAAGGAATTTGGATAATATATCATCATAATGGATATTGTCAATAATCGTTAAACTGGATCAGCTTCAGCATTAGGAAATATTTTTGCTATGAAAGAAGTTTGCATCAGTGGATCTTTAGATCAGAATGAAAAGGACCTGTGAGGGTTGTGAAATTATTGTGTTGCATGCTGTTTTGTCTCCTTCCTAACAGTTCCAAAAGACTAAAAGTCAAAGAGTTCCAAACTTGATTGGAATCAAGATTTTTCTGGTTCCCAAAAGTTGCAAGAACAATCAAGAGGTAATCTGATGACCCCTAACATATTAGAAAGAAACAAGAAAAAGACAACCATAATAAAATGGAACCAGGAGGACAACATTTATGGTCTTTGACATCATTTTCAGAATATGCCTTTGAATAAAGAAATAATTGAGTTGGGGCTGAAGATTGAACCTGGAAAATTATGATTTCCCCCGGTTTTGCATGCATTATAGCTATAGCATTGCTCCATCTATGTTATCTACTTTTCTCCAACAGAATTTTGAAGATAATAAGCAGGGCTGTAATTGTCAGTGTGACTGCAATGGCCTAGAAAGCTTATCCTTCTTACCAAGCAAAATTTTCATTGTTACATTTTTCCATTTCTTCTGCAGAGAAGTCTGTCATGGATTTCTTCTGCAGAGAAGTCTGTCATGCATAACTTGTGCCATCATCTTCCCATTACAAGATAATTTGGTTTTTCCCTTAGCATATCTGTATTTACTTATTTATCTTTTGGTGGATGCCATCCTTCCAAATATCAGTAACTTCTCTGTTCCTGGAGTGTTCAATTGTTTTTTTTATTGAAGTGTTAAAAATGTCTTTGTTTTTCTATATCCAGTTGGCAAAGAAACGGCAACGAGCGAAAAAGAACAAAGAGCTTGGGATCAAAAGGCTGAAATTGATGCCAGTAACAAAAGCTAAACCAGTGGTTTTATGCCAGTTCTATATGAAAGGACGGTGCAACCTGGTAAGTCTCTCTTTATAATATAGTATTCAGTTCAGTGAAATATTACTTTCAATACCTTGGAGAACTAGTTTTTATGGTCCTGTTAATATCATATAATGCTTCTAACTTGTATAGATGGTTCCGTATGAAGATGTTGTCTCGCCTATCTCATAAATCGTTCTGGCTTGATCAAATTTTACAAAGCATTATTGGCATGAAATGTGGAGGCTTGTCTAGCAGGAGTCCTTTTATTCTGAATGCATTACTCTCACTTTAAACGGTCTTGTTACAAATAACCAGAGGGTTTACTCATGGGAAGCCAATGCTTTAGTCTGTGTCTTGTGCTCAAGTGACTAATAATGCAGAGCCTCTTGTATTTATGATGATAGCTATATATTGTACATTATGCATTGCCATCATGGAAATCCACATAAGAAATTCCCATATTGTTCTTTTTTAGTCACATATTGTATCAAATGCATTAGTAGATTCATCTCGTCTCTTAGTCTATAATATTGAATATTCATTGTTACCCAAGTTGTCTTATGCTTCATTTTCTGATGGATATAGCTCTTTTCATGGATGCCTATTTAACATAACCATTCTAGAAAGTTTTCTACCTTTTGTTTGTGTGTTTGCATAGACATGCTTGTGTATACCCATGTATGGATGACTTCTTGTTATTTAGAAATGCATTTCATAAGTATGTCTACTTGTATTTATGTATTGATGAATACAAAGTTTATTTATATAGCTTTTACTCGAAAATCAAGAAGAAACTCAGAGTTTTGGCATCTCAAATGGCATGCATAATGTGCTAGAACAGCTGACTGATGCACTTGCATGTTTTCCTATGTGCACATGGACACTGCGTGTTGATCGGGAATACAAGGTTGTAAAGGGTTTTTCTATGAGTAGCATCCTCACTTCCTCAAGGTTATATTTATAGGTTATATTTAGAATGTTTTAACGCCCTAATTAACATATATTTAGTTAAAACGCTCTTTCTTAAGAGGGGTAAATATGTAACTTGGCCCACAAGATTAAAAAATAAACAAATTGGAGGGAGGGATTGGATATTCCCCCCATGGATGCTTTCATATCCCCTCAAGAACCTAATCCCTTGCCCCACCTCACTCTCTCACGTCCAACCTACTGTGCTTTCTCCCTCCCCTTCAGACTACCTGCCCGCCCCCTCCCTTCTTTCCTCTTCCTTCCCTTGTTTTCTATCTAACATGAGGCAGTTGCTTTTTCTAACCAGGATTGAGAATGGGTGTCCTGAGGGAAGATGGAGAACAAGGGAGAATATGTAGTTACATCAGAATGAGAGAGACAATGAACCCCTAACTTGATTTTTTAGTTTTGAAACTACCCATTAAATAATTTCTCCTTTCAAAATAGATGTTTTAATTGAAGACATGTTATTATATAGAAATTGACTACACATAACCTTAAGTGAGCATGGGGATGTTACCCGTAGAAAATCTTGTGCATGCATATTTGCGTTGATTATTTGACAATTAACAAAACTGTGTTGCGTCATCTCTATTTTCTGTCCACAAAGGTGGAGACAGGTATAGTAAGGTACACGAGCCTCAAATTTCAGGTCATTGTAAATTTAAGAGTAGTTTGAGTAATTGAATTGAGAATCAAGGCTTACATAGGGCATCAGCGCCAAAAACAGTGTTGCCCCATCTCTACCTTCCATTAAAATGGAGACGGGTACTCTAGGGTGTGCTTGCCTCAAATTTCAGGACATAGTAACTTTCAGAATGATTGACTTAATGAATTGAAATTTGAAGCGTACATAGGAGGTTGTGAGAAAGCTTCAGGGGAAATAGATTCATGCTCTATCTATCATCTATCTATAGAACCTATGCACAAAATAAGGTGACAGTATTTTTAAGGAGAAGTTTGTGAAATTCATCAACATTTTTGAAGTGAAGTCTTGAATCTAGATATAAAGATGCATATCAAACCTCAAAAATCACAAAGAAACAGCAATGATCCACTTGATCACCTCAAGCTGATTCGAGGCATCAAGCTGTAAGTCAAGATCCATAACCAGCAATAAAGGATCTGCAGACAGTTGCGCAGACCAACCGCTGCAAGCGAACCAGCAGAGCTTGACTGAATAAAAGAACCTGTAGGAGGAACATACGAGGAGTGTTAGATCTCTGTGGCTATTGCAGGTGGGGAGATGTGGGATTGTACATAAGATAGCATCTGAGGTGCAGTTTGGAGAAATTTTCAGTATGGTTATATTGATTGCTTTCCACAAGTATGAGATGCGTCATTGCCATTCACAAGTTTGAGATGCTTCAAGCGTCAGAAAGAATCGTGGGCAATGGGAAAATTTTGGACTCTTCTAGTATGCCGTTTTACTTTTTATTCTTCAATGATCGTTTGTTGTCATTATTGATTCTAGAAAATGGTACCTGCATCGTTACGATCATATTGCCAACTAACATTGATACCAATGCTATTTTAGAACCCAGTGTTTTAAGGGTCGCAATGAGCATAATGCAGCAAGATGTTGACATGTGACAAGTATCATGTGCTGTGAAATATCCTCTGAAAGATGAATGCTTGAATAACTAGAACTTCATCTTCCGTTCACAGTTACTCCTTTAATCCATTGAACTTTTATTGCATGATATGCAAAAAGAATTAAAATAAGTAAAATGATCATTACCAATGTTGAAAAAATCGGCCGCCCAACCGCCTAGGCGTTCTTAAGGCGGTACGTGTTAGGCATCAGAACTAGGCACCTGCCTAGGCGGTTGGGCGGCCGATTAGGTGGTAAAAGGCGCTCGCCTAGGCGGCACGCAGGGCTATGGCAGAAAACATTTTTTGGGTGGGGGCAGAAAAAGTCATTTTACCCTCTTAAAAGGGGGGATAAGGGTTTGGAGGCTCATTCTTGCCCCCAAAAACAAATTTAGTGAACTTTAGAGGGAGAAAAAACTAGAAAAAAACTAGATTTGAAGATTTTTTGAGAGATCGAATTTTTTTTTCGAAATCCTTGAATGGTCACGATATTAAATGATATTCAACCCCAATCTTTTTGAGGCTTATAGGGGTTGTAAAAGAGGAGATTTGGGATCCCAAACATTTCGGTTTGGCCCAAAATCGAGTCCACTTCAAGAAGGTTGGTCTATTTCAATATTTTTCATTACGTTTTGTATTTTTTTCCCTTAATGTCTAATGATGTTATTTTTTTCTATTTACTTTGTGATATATATTTGATATGTTATTATCTATTTGGAATCTTGGATTATTATTTTATTAGTTAGTTTAATAATTACTTATTAAATAATTGTATGTGCAACGTATTTTCTTGATATATGATTCATAAAACATAATTATTTTATTAATTAGTTTAATATTTGCTTAATGCTTCTTGCTTATTAAATAATTGCATGTGTGACATTATTTCATTTACAATCTAAAGTTGTAAATGTTTAGGTTTGATTTGTGCTTCCGGCATCTTAACAATATATTACATACAAAACTTACTTATTAAATAATAAAACAGACAATTTTATGTATCGTAAAATGGGGGGAGGTGTGGGGATCCAAATGTTTTTTAAAAAATCACCGTTTTTTTTTGGGTTTGAGCGCCTGCCTAGGCAACCCAACCCTGTACCGCCTAGGCAGCCGCCTCTGCCTTATTGAACATTGATCATTACATCAAAGTAATGGTGGCAAGCCCAGTAATGTTTTGTTGAACAAGAAGTTGTTGCCTTATTGGGAACAATATGACCTAAACATGAAGTTTTTGCCTTATTGGGAACAATAATGTCATCTTGTCAGGCTTGTCATTAGCTGATTCCTTATGGGGTGTTGATTAATAGAAGAAACAGGAGGCGGAGTAGAGATGGTCAGGGGATCAGATGGGAAGATTTTGATTAGTCAAGTGGATGATGTGCTTATTATGCAAAGGGGAGTGAAATAGGCCGAGGTGGAGAAACGTTGCCCCTCTGGTTGGAGCATTCACTAGGCCACTGTGAGAGCCTTGATGTAGTAACTAAACAATTCTTTCTCATCTATTTTTTCACTCCCTTCCCAAGTATCCATTAGTGGTTCTCAAGATTGTTGTGTCTAAACTTTAAAATTGATCACAAGATGGAACAATCAAGTTGAAACGCAACAGTATTAGTATCATGATCTTTGAGAGTAGCACGTAGAGAACAACTCAAGTTGTTAGAAAGCATGATCAAGATAACTAGGGGAATGCTAAGGGTGGAGCTTTGGAAATAAAAGAGGAGGAATGTGTGTGCTGATCTGCAAGGCTAGAAAGTTCTGCAAGGTACAGACCATGGAGAGGAAAAAGGAGAAAGAAGAGGGACGTAAGCTACTTGTTGAGGTAAAGAAGTTAGTTGTAGGGAACTTCTATCACAGCTGATTCCTAGCCCTAAAACCTTGTTACCTCATTTTGGGAGTGGAATTCCATAGGGAATGCGTTCTCCCTATTACAAGATGTCATTCTCCTTCTCCAATGAATCCATTCCCTCCTCCTAGTAATATAATTTTTGCATTTTCACTCAAAGGAAAAAATGGCCCCCTCGAGCCCCGAGCCTCATCGCCCTTGGTTCTGGCCCCTCTGCCCCCTGCAGGTTCTGATTCCTCCTCCCATTCGCCACTTTTCTCATCGCCTCTTTGTACCATCCATCCGTCTGTGCCCCTGTCTTCTGGTGACCTCCCCTCCTCGTGAGTTTGTGGAGATCTTGTTGGGGGCCACCCTCCTTGGTCTCGCCCCGCTTTACCTTCTACCCTCCCCCCTTTGCTGCATCTCGAGGCTTTGTCCGGTTGTCGACTGGCCTTCCTCTCCCCTCCTGTAACTCTCACCTTCCCCTGCCTCCTTTTCTTGCCTCCCCTCCCCCCCCCTTCCTTTCTCTTCCCCCCTTATTTGGTGTATCTCCTTCCTCTCCTTTTTGGTCTCGGGTTCCTTGTCCCCTTTTTGGGACCAGGATTTCGCTCTAGCCCCCCGGTTTCCCCTCCTCCCCTTGGTTTCATTCCTC